TAGGGCTCGATAATTTCAACGACTACTACGACCCGTCCCTGAAAAGAGCCAGGCAGGCCCTTCTGGAGAGAACAGGGGTCTACATTGTAGAAGCCGATATAAACGACGTCGTTTTGCTGAAGAAGCTCTTCGACATCGTCCCCTTCAGCCACGTCATGCACCTCGCAGCTCAGGCGGGCGTCCGTTACGCCATGGAGAATCCAAGCTCGTACGTGCACAGCAACATCGCGGGCCTCGTCAGCATCCTCGAAGTCTGCAAAAACGCAAACCCTCAGCCGGCCATTGTGTGGGCATCGAGCAGCTCCGTCTACGGATTGAATGCGAAGGTGCCGTTTTCGGAGCTCGATCGAACGGATCAGCCCGCGAGTCTGTACGCGGCCACTAAGAAAGCCGGCGAAGAAATCGCGCACACCTACAATCACATACATGGGCTTTCTTTAACCGGATTGAGATTCTTCACTGTCTACGGGCCTTGGGGAAGGCCCGACATGGCGTACTTCTTCTTCACTAGAGATATCTTGAAAGGGAAGTCGATCCCGATTTTCGAGGCGGCCAATCACGGCACTGTGGCTAGAGATTTCACCTACATTGACGATATTGTAAAGGGTTGTTTGGGTGCGTTGGATACTGCGGAAAAGAGTACGGGGAGTGGGGGCAAGAAAAAGGGGGCGGCTCAATTGAGGGTTTTTAATTTGGGGAATACTTCTCCGGTGCCAGTTTCGGATCTCGTTTCTATTTTGGAGAGATTGCTTAAGGTGAAGGCGAAGAGGTTGATTATGAAATTGCCAAGAAATGGAGATGTGCAGTTTACTCATGCGAATATAAGCTTGGCTCAAAGGGAGCTTGGTTATAAACCGACGACTGATCTTCAAACGGGGTTGAAGAAATTTGTCAGATGGTACCTCAGTTATTACGGTAATGAGAAAAAGAGTTCGCAGTGATTTTTACGGAGAAAATATTACGATTCTTTTTTCCCATTTTGATTCTTGTGATTGTTTTTTTTTTTTAAACCTATCTCTGTTGGCTTGTTGATTTGGCCAATTATCGTGTTCTTTTTAACACGGCGGAGATTTTCGGAGCTGTTGTGCATTGGAAGGACAAGAAAACGAGATTTTTTTTGTCGTTTGTGGTGGGAATTGTATTTGTTGTAGTTTTATGATCATAGTAGAATTCAATGTGACTGATAGAGCAAATTTCGAGTGATTTGACGATGGACATGTGTCGTTATGGATTACGAATTCGAATAAAACAACATACACTAGTTTTTGACATTTGGCGATGCTTGTATGTATGTAGATTCTTCATTTAATGAATTCAGTTTGTTTTGCGCAGTATGATAATTAATTGCCTTTTATTAACATATTTGCACAAAATTTGCTGTGAATAAATAACTGTCCGTTCTTGAATACGAGGAGATCTATCTTGGTCGAAGAAAATATGAATTTTCTGGGATTTACGGTTTACCTCTTCTGGTTTTTGGAGCAGGAACTTGCTGATTTTGGTAATTAATCTTTGTTCGATCTTTATAGATTTTGTTACGGTCTCGTTTTACATACTATGTACCTTCGTTCGATTAGGACTACATTACTATGAAAACTTCTTTAACTGAATTTGATTTAGATACACATTTTAGATTCATTATTAAATGTAGATCATAGTTCATAGTTTATATAACATGATACATTCTTGTAGTTCATGGTTTATTATATGTGCAGATTACTAATAGTGAAACTGCAATTTGAATTGCTGGTTTGAAGAAAGTGATGATGGTGTGTAGAGTTAGGTAGAGTTCATAACCAAATTTAACGTGCCATGATGAAACTGTGTTGTGAGGTCGTGAGATGTTTCTTTCATTCTAAGGTTTCCTTCATAGTGTAATAGGTTGGGTAATAAATAAGGGTAAATTAGATAAGGTCAAGTTACGAAAAAACCCCTCGTATTTGGGTAATTACAATCACCCCAACTATGAATTTTCTTACACGTTCACTCTAATGCTGTCAAATTGAACAGGAATGTACTCTAGTTTGTGCTCGTTTTGTGAAAAAAATGCAGTTTCTGATGCACCACAGTCTGATATTTACAAGCCAAGAGACACATCTTATGAGATCATCTTGTTCCGATGTGTGGAAGCTCGAATTGGATAAAACGGGTACAAACTGGAGAATATTCTACATAATTTAGAAGATTCCACTAAATTTGAAACCACAAGAATGAACATGTAAGAAGATTTATAGTTTATAAATAGTTGTAATTATCCGAACAAGAGGGATTGTCTCGTAATTTGATCTTACTTCGGAGATGACCGTACTTTACCCTAATAACAATCATTAATGAAACTGACTTAAATACAGTATCAATAAATGACAAGTTTGGCCAATTAAGCTAGAAAATAAATGAAAATTGCCTATTAGGCCAATACTGTAACATTTTCGGTTCCCTTGAACGAAATGAACTATTTTCAGAAATAAAACTCCCACTACTCAAATAGGCGAAATAATTACTTCAAGAGTGCAAACATATCATAACTTTGAATTAATTGGCCACAATTTTGCACTTCACACAACAAAATATGATAATTGAATACATGAAAAGAAAGCCTATACAAAAGTTCAGAAATCATATTTTGTTCTTCCACTCTTCAAAATAAGGCATAGCATATCCGATAGGTTAGAAGAAGACGAGAAAAAATTCCAAGACTCGAGCATAAGTCGTTTTCTCGATCCCTTGAAATGAACTACCTGTTTCCACAAATCAAGCCAGATTTAAAAGAGATTATTCTTCTTTTTTTTTTTTTTTTTAAATTAACAAATGAACCGGTAGTTTAATGTAAATGTTTTTTACCTTGACATCCAAGGGCATCCCGTGAAATTGACCAGCACCCTCTGGCGGCGTCCAATTATAGACAGAGCATGGTAAGAAAAGTACTGAAGCACCGCCGATTTTGTCTAGAAAAGCCTCTCTTTTCGAAAATCTTCTTGTATTAAAATTGGGGTGGGATTTTATAACCCATGCAAGAGCTAATTGATCTCCGAGCATGCGAGAAGATTCCATAAATCTCGAACTGTAAACTTTCAGCACTTCTTGTAAGAAAGCCTTCCCTCTTTAGATAAAGAAACAACATTATTTTTAGATGGAGAAATGTGGGGCTCAAATCTAATCATTTCCATTATTTGTGTTCTAGAGAGATATTTTTTTAAAGAAATAAAGCACCTTTTGATTCCCTCTACAGTGCCTCTTACTGCAATGAATCCTGAATTGAGAGGTTGATCTTTATTGTTTCGGAAGGTGAGAGCCAGATCAAAATCAGGATAGTCGGTAAATATTTGTCCCAGGTCATCTATTACTGCTATATCAGAGTCTGTAAAAATGAAATGAGTGACTTGCTCCTGATTCTCGTTCAGCCCCTCGAGCCTACTTTCTAGGAAGGCCTGCACAAACAAGTTAAATTCGAATAAGAAGCGGTAAATTTTTAATGAATAACTAAAGGTCTCTTGCTCGTGAACTCCAAATCAATAGTGATGAACTAATTGCAAACGAATATGAGCATTTTATAGCAAACTATCTAACACACACACACACACACACACACACATATATCTATATGTAACATAAAGCTAATATAATGAGTGTGCATTCAGGTCAAGTGAATATGTGCTAGACAGATGTAAAAAACGAGTCACTCAAATCAGCCATCGCTATGCATACAAGTCAAAAACGAACTATATGCAAAACAAAAACTAGCATTTTACAGCAAAGTATTGAACACATGTATGTAACATGAAGCTAAAGGTAAATAGTAATTAGTAACAAAAAGCATGTGTCATTTTTCCAACAGTGTGCCCTTTGCTCTTACAATGTAAGACCTGATTCTTTGAAGCATCAACTTGTCTCTCGAATATTCACCTTGTATTGGTTGTATGGTAACCATATCTCTATTCAGTGGAAGCTCCGAAGCGGGATCGGTAAGAATGATAACATTGCTTTGGGGCATGACCGCCTACAATAATTAATCAAGCATCAATATTGTATATCTAATTGGGATAGTAAACAATGACTGTGCATACAGTAACCATACAGGTAAATTTTTTAATTTTATTTTATTAATAACAGATATAACTTTTACATCTATTAAACCAAAACTCGGTACAGTGTTTCCAGAGAGCATGTCAAATTTTCAATATGTCAACATTTCTCATATCCTCGATATATCTTACGGTTACCCATGCATGTAGATATGGCATTTCTCCAAATTTTAGGAGAAAAATTGAATTCGAAACCCTCAACTACTGCTAATTCACAAATCATAAGAGTATGAGATTCTGTGCACACTCACGTGCCTAAAGAAAAAGATCGAATTTATAAACAGAATCAAACTCTTTCATAAAATGTAGTTCTGAAAACACTAATACCTGAATGAAATTTACGAAAATATTCAAAATGGCCATTGATCTCTCCAGTTTGCCATATGAAATATTCCCAACAGTAACCAAATCAGCTGGTCTGCTCTCAACAGTAGAGTTGTAGATAGTAAAAACAGTGACAAGAGCGACACGATCAGGTGAGCGAGAATTGTTAAGGGATGTTCCAAAATGCATCTTGCTGAGAGCCTTCGTTCCTGCAAACATTTCAAATTTACCACTTAGCTCCTGGGTCAAATGAAGCGAACTAAATCATAAGAAACACTTTTTGTTCCCTTTCTCTTTCTTTTATTGCATAAGCTCTTCAAAATGGGAGTAACCCATACCATCAATGCGAAATTGTCGATACATTTATTATAAAAATGGTTGAGAAAAGAGGACCGGTAGAAAATTACTTGACTATGCAAATTATGAAAAAACCACCAAAAATTACTCTCCAAGTTTCTGCTCGGACAATACTCACGAGTGCACACAACACAAAAAGAGGGGCTAATAATTAATCTGAAAGGAAAAAAAAATGAATTCACTAAACCTTGGCATTGCAAACGATCAGGCAATCCCTCGCCAGCAGCAGGTCCAAGAATAAGATGATCGGATTTTCTCGGCTTCTTTTTATGTACACCCCCAAAATTATTTTGTTGATTGAGCTCCGTAACTGAAACATGCATCAATTTCTCTTTTCATTAAAAAACAATTGCTCAGGAAATTTTAACATATGCACGAATTTATTTTTCTTTCAGAAAACATCAAATTGTCTACCTGAGAGCAAATGGACGATTAATATAACTACGGGCATACATAAAAACAACCGATTCCATCCAACGCATATTCTCTTCCCCAGCATACTCTGTTCACGAAAATGCAGCACTCCTCTACTTTCAGGTGCACCAAGTACAGTTCATAAACCCTAATTGTAACTGTTTCTGCATTTCCCTCTGCAACAGCAACAAATTTTGTATGTAACTCTTCTACGCACAGATCAGAAAATAAATAAACACTCTCAAATACGGAAAAATGTATAGGATACATCGAAATCAGCCGCGTTTTAACCACAAATAAGTCCAGCAGATGAATAAATAGCGAGCAATAATTAATAACCTAGATTTTCCGACATTAAATCTCAAAAAATCAACTCGTATAATGCTTGTTCTTTCTGAACAAAACGAAAATAAAATTGCGACGAAGATGAGATAAATTGATGGATTCAACTGCAAAAACATGCATCGGATCAAAATTAACTGGCGATCTTTACAGTTTACTAGAAAAAAATGAAAATCCGATTACTTACCTTGATTAATCAGTTCTTTGCAGAAGCTCAGAAATCACAGCATAGGTTCTTCCTATCTGAATGAAGAATTCTCTCACTCCTAATGCATTTGCGTTTTGCAATTAACGACTGGAAAGCCCGAGCATTTCGGGTCCAGATTGGGCCTACATTAATACGGCCCGTTTGAGAAGATTGGGCCTTTTAGCCTTTTCTAGTTTATTCCATTATTTCAATTGGTCCAAAATGCTTGAAAATAAATAATATATAAGAAAAAAGTAAGGAAAATAAATTTAGATGCCTAAATTAAAATACGGCCGAACTTAAAGGACTCAATTGCAAATCCGCTTTTTTATATATAAACAACTTCACTCTCTATCTCCCCGCTTGTCACTCTAGGGTTTCAACTCGTGTTCAGCTAACCGAAGCCGCCGCCGCCGTCGATTCACTCCGCCGGGCTCCGAACAACAGCCGCTACCATGGGTCGTATGCACAGCCGAGGGTTTGTGATCTCTCTATCTGCACGTACTTCTTCTTTGTAATGTGCTTCTTCTTTTTTTCCCCCGATTTCTGAATTTGTAATTTATTATTGCAGAAAGGGTATTTCAGCATCAGCACTTCCGTACAAGAGGACTCCGCCGAGTTGGCTCAAGATCTCTTCTCCAGATGTACGTGATCTCTGTTCCATTAATTTTGTTTTTTCATTTATTCTTTGATGTTTGATTTTATGTTTACATTTAATTAATTATTCTCTAGAACAGAAGATATTGCGTTGCCATTGATTCTGCTTGCATTTTTGTCGAATAGATGAATATGAAATTCATCTTACCAGTTACATTGATGCATAAACCGATGATTGTTCCGTATGCTTATTGCTTATGTGCACTAATTAATATTCGAGCTTTGATCGGAGATACACCATTAAATGTTGTTGAACATATACTATTTACTCTGCGTATCTTTATGTTAATTGTAGAATGTGCAATTTTATTTTAGCAGTATCAAAGTTCTCGTATAGAATTGAATATGGTGGTTTAGAAAAAAAAATCTGAGTTTAGATGTTTAGTTTGAAAGCTATTGTAGTTTGTTTACATCAGTTGGATTGGATTTATAAGCTATAACTGTTTCACCTAATACAAAATCATTATTAAACGAGGTTCGTTTGGGTTTAGTCTGTTTGCTTAGTTAGTTTCGTTTCGGTTATCCATCTCGATTTGGGTTCAAGTTATTGTCGAGTACATCTACTATTCTGTCCTGACTGAGTTTCTTTTGGGTTTAGTCTGTTGTATGAGTTAGTTTCTTTTTCGGTTATCTATCTCGATTTGGGTTCAAGTTATTATCGAGTATATATCCTATTCTGTTCTAACTGAGGATAAATTTTACGTTTATTGTCCAGTACTGCGCTTTTGTTACATTGTATATGTTACACTACTTCTCAGTTCTCATAGTATTACCCGATTCCTAATAAATTTCTTGTATTTCAGGTCGAAGAAAACATCTGTAAGTTTGCAAAAAAGGGTTTGACACCTTCCCAAATTGGTGTTATTCTTCGTGATTCTCATGGTATTGCCCAAGTGAAGAGTGTCACTGGCAGCAAGATTTTAAGGATTCTCAAGGCACATGGTATGTTTCTTCTGTATCAAACGTTGATGTTTGATATATATATATATATATATATATATATATATATATATATATATAGGTACACAAACAACTGAATAATTAACTCGTGTTATATTTGATCTGCCCAGGACTTGCCCCTGAGATTCCGGAGGATCTTTATCACCTCATTAAGAAAGCTGTTGCCATCCGGAAGCATCTGGAGAGGAACAGAAAGGACAAGGACTCCAAGTTTAGGCTAATTCTCGTTGAGAGCAGAATCCACAGACTTGCTCGATACTACAAGAAAACCAAGAAGCTTCCACCTGTCTGGAAATAGTAAGTCCATAACTTGACCACTAAAATATTTTTCTTTGATGAGTCCTCTTCTAACTAGATAACTTAGCCTAAGTTTCGGAACTCCCCATTTAACTTGTTGTCTTGAAAATAAGTTGACTTTGTTTGAGTATCTAATTGCTCCGAGAAACTGTTGCCAGATATCACTAGTTTAATTTTGGAGCAAACAAGCTGCTAATTCGATTGCTTTATGTCTCCTCATTTGAGGCCTTGTTTTGGGAACGAGGATAGAACTAGATTGACAATATTGTCATACTTTGTCAAATGTTTCGAGTTTAGGTTTCAACCTTATGATAATTCAAACTTAACTCCTATTATTGCATATTATTACACAATCTTGTGAAGGATATTACCCAATAAAAAGATTGTTACAAATCTCGAGAATACAAAAACATATCTGCTATCATCTTTAATGACCTTTCTGGAAATTGAATTATGTGTTTTATTTGTGCTCTTGAAAAGATAATGCTTCGTTTATTTATATATATTCCGCTTTCAACAATTATTGATCTTCTATTTCCTTTGCAGTGAATCTACCACCGCCAGCACCCTCGTGGCGTAAGGAGTATGTATTGCAGAAAATCGGATATTTGATTCTGAGTAATATTTCGATGAAGGAGACGTTTTTTTTAGTATTTTAGATACTTTTGCTTCCTTAATTGTTGCCATTGTCCTATTTCTTATTATCTGACTAGTTTAATCGAAGTTTTGACAGTCGATTTTGATTGTTAATCACCTTGCATGAAATCTATAAACATCTTATTTTGAATTTTGACCGGTTACTTTAGGTTCTTTTATTGATTTAAATTAAGTAATAAATATATCTGAATTGAGTCGTAATTCGAAGCGAACTGGTACGAATATGAAATTGTGGAATCTGGCCTATTTTATAACGATCGAGAGTCAATGTTTGTGTTAATAGTTACTATGGAACATCTTGTACTTTAGACTGCTGCAATTGTGCTCGGATAACTTGTGTGCTTTTTGTTTTCTATTTTTATTTAAAATATAATTACATATATAAATAACATTTATTAAGAAAAATATAGTTGGAAGTATAGATATTAATAAAGCCGTTACCACCTCTAAGAAATATTTACAACGTGAAGACTCCTTCACATTTTGACCAATGTCCAATGTCATTAATCTTCGATGTTTGACCAAGTCAACGAGGTCAATTTTTTTTTATTTCAATATTTTGGCTTCTATTTTCTTTTTCTTTCCACACCACAATGTTGTATGCAAAATTATATGGCATGGGTATTTCAACAATAAGATTAATGTATACTAGTATTTCGTTGCTTACATGGTTTGCAAGCTATTATACGAGGATATAGATTAATCCAACGCTAGGTAGCGGGTTCTTTCATTAGAAAATAAAAATGTATACTGGTGTTTGATCCCTTTTCTTCTTTTACAAATGATAAATATTTCATCTTCTATTTATGTTGACAAAGGAATCTGTTCTTATACAATATCTCGTAAACTACACGAATTGTGTAAATTGTAGGGAAAATCGAGCGGCGACGAGCTTGACTTTGAAAGTGTTGGCAACAAAAATCAAAATCAGGTTGTTAGACGTTGCGCTTTTCTACTCCACCAATTCGATCAAACAATTATTCTTTGATAATTTTTGTTTTATAAAATAATGTCTTTTAATGATTATAATTGATAATTATTCTTAACTTTACACCAAAGACTACTACTTGTACTAATTAAGTAATTGTAATAACCTTCTAGATGTTCATCCTCAAACAATGACCACCAAAAAGGCCAAATAACAGCACACAACATTGAAGTTTATTAGAAGGTTCCAACTTTCCATTATTGACCAAGACTTAATTCATTTAATTAAATTAAATAAGAAAAGGGAAAACAAAAATAAAAATAAAAATGAAAGAAGAAAAACAATTATACATGTAAATAATCAGCTCATTTTTCACTAATGGATTCCACCATAGCTGTACTCTTACTCCACAGGCGGAATTCATAAACCCTAACCATCATCATTCCGGAGAGAGAGAAAAAAAACGTTGAATTCGGAACTCAAGATTATCGGATTTGATTTTTTTTTTCTGCTTAATTTCGAATTCCTCACCCTCTTTAGCAGATTTTTAATTTTGTGATTGGGAAATCGAAAACTATTATGTATAGATCTGGAGCGGTGATGGCGTGGAACGTGTTCAAGTTTTGCACGGCGTTGAGGGGGCTTGGTTCGATCATGATACTGTTGGTGTTAGGCGTCGTCGGCGTTAGCTATTATGCGGTGGTGATTACAAATTACGGCCCCGGACTCGCCGCCGGCGGACTCGATTCGCTAATCGCGTTCATCGTGTTGATCTTGTTTCATTGTCTGGTAATTCTGCTACATTTTTTGGGAATTTTGTATGTTTTTGCTTTTGTATTTGTTATTTTGAAAATCGATTTTGTTTTAAGTTTGATCTGCCTGGCATTTTACTCTTAGTTTCTTGGAAATTTGCGATATCTTTATTTTCTCTGGATTTTTCGTTATTTTTTGCTGTTAATATCTCTAATATCAGCTCCTCCTGTACTAATTATTTTGAGCCCACAGCTAAATGAAATTAGAGGTTCCCATTAAACTATTCGTTTGAAATGATTTAATCATGGCAATGATTTTTTCCCAATTCAATTTGGTTTTGGTGGTGTAAAGTTTATTATAAAATCTGGAGAAATAATGAGTTTGGTGTAAACCTTTTGTAATCTGGAAAGACAAGGTGTTTAAGATTTTTCACTGTGCTTCATGATTCTTGGAAACTCAACTGTTTATTTTTATTTTTTACTTTGGATTTAGTGTTTCTTTTTAGTTTTGAATCATCGATAATTAACCAACACTTGTCATTTACACTTCTTTTACTCTTTCAGCTTAATAAAAGGTGGGGTAGTGATAAGAAATCCTCTTTCATGGTTTTGGTTTGATGGTGCAAATTGTAACCAGGAAGGACAAATAGTTGTCTTTGGTTAAGCTCTTTGTTGTTCAATTTGAAGTTTTTGTTTCTTTTGAGTATATTTGCAAATTGTGATTTTATTTTTCTTTTCACAACTGGGAAATGATGATGCGGGGTATTTATCATTTGATTGAACTGAATAGTTAACCAATTAATGCTTTTGCAGTTGGTGATGCTACTGTGGAGCTATTTTTCAGTTGTATTTACGGATCCAGGCGGCGTGCCTCCAAATTGGCGGCCAGCAGTAGATGAAGAAAGAGGAGATAGTGACCCATTAACTGCGTCGGAGTTTCCACCCGAATCAGAGAATGGTAGAATCCGTTTTTGTAGAAAGTGCAACCAGCTGAAACCACCTCGCTGCCATCACTGTTCTGTTTGTGAGTTGATTCTGACATTTACGTCCTGGGAATTTTTTTAATGTGTAATTGGAAAACCTTAAATATGTGTAATTGAATCACCTTATTTAGGTGGGAGGTGTATTTTGAAGATGGACCATCTCTGTGTGTGGGTTGTCAATTGTGTTGGGGCACTGAACTACAAATATTTCCTTCTCTTCCTGGTACGGTACTATAACTTAATCAGAGTCATGAAGGCTTGCTTTTGTTGGTCTTGATTATTATGTTTTTCTTCTTATTACACAAATTTGGTCTTGAATTTTGTCCATACCATTTTTCATACAGTGAGTGTTCACTGTTGGCATAAACAATGAATATATTATGACCTTTTGAAATAATTTTGTACACGTGTTCATTGGAACATGACACCGTTTCTTGTTTGCTTTCTTTTTGTCATGCAGTTCTACACGTTCCTCGAAACTACTCTAGTTACTTTGTCCTTACTGCCGCACTTTATTGCATTCTTTAGCGACGGAGAGATTCCTGGGACTCCAGGAACTCTTGCAACGACCTTTCTTGCATTTGGTACAGTTATTTACGTTTTTTTTTTTTTTTTTTTTAAAATAATTCTTCTCAATACAGTGCCACTGATAAGCTAATTTTGCAGTATTAAACTTGGCATTTGCTTTGAGCGTAATGGGATTCTTGATTATGCACATATCATTGGTCGCTGGGAATACCACAACCATTGAGGTATTATTACATGATTTTTTGTTCTCATAATTTTGATATTGATGATGTCCTAACTCCTAATAGCCCAAGTTTTGGTATAACTTTCAGGATATGTTGAATGTTTGTGTCAAACTTCAGTATCATATATTAATGGATAATAGTTGCTTCAACCTTTTAGCTTTCTTAGTTTTCTTACCCTGTATCGTGCCTTTAATTCTTGTTCATGGGTAATGTTTTATTCGACTACGATTGTAGAGGTTGAAGGGATTTTACTGAACTTTTCTGTAGAGTGTTTCCTTTTTCCCCCTTTTTGCTTTGTTTTTCGTTTCTGTTTTATTAAGATACATCTTGATTGCATTGTTGTTTAATGTGATAGCTGATGTTTGTATTCTCTCTGTGTTTAGGCTTATGAGAAGAAGACTACTCCAAAATGGCGATATGATCTTGGACGAAAAAGAAACTTTGAGCAGGTCAGTGTACTCTTATGTCTTAACTACCATTTCTTCTTTAAGTGGGAGTAATTATTTGAATTTCAACCATGGTTGTAATGTCTATAGAAAACTAGCAGTTAAATTACACTAGTAAGGATTTAATTTGTCAATCACGTTCTAGGCATGGTGGTGCTGGTAAATATCTTCATCAGGTTGTCTATACATTAGAGCTCTATTTTGTTTTTTCACTAGACATGGGAAATTCGAGAAATGAGAATTCGACAGATAAACGGGGAGGGAAGTTTGCCAGAATTGTAGTTATCAGTGATGAGAATTTAATCAGTGCATAAAGAAGTATAATTACGGCACCACTAGTTCCTTAATCTCCGAGACAAAAGTTATATCAAAAAAATTGAAGGTATATGTTTTAATTTAGATGGCTCAACACAGACATTATCTATAACTCAATAGGCTTGTTTGCTACTTTTCATTTTCCGCTTGTGTGTAATGAAACTAAAGCCAAAAATTCAGTTTCTTGTCCGTAGTTCACACGTTTTTCTTACAAGACTTGATATCCTGTAATAGGTGTTTGGAATGGACAAAAAGTACTGGTTTGTCCCAGCTTACTCTGAAGAAGATTTGCGGCGAATGCCTGCTCTTCAGGGTTTTGAATATCCTTCAAAGCCTGACCTCGATTCTCAAGAATTCTGAAAATGGATGACGAAATAATAAATCATACGTCGAATTTAAATTTTGAGGAGTGTAACTTATTTGGGACTAGAGCATTCAATTCATCAGCCTCCTTCTGTTGAATCAACACTCGGGACCAAAGAAATTTGTGCAGAAAAAAACAATGGTGGATTGCATTTCGAAGACGATGATGAGTAGATTTTTGTATCACAAGAAGAAATTGATCGAGAAACGCTGACTGTGATGTGGCAATAGGTGAATTTGTTGTAAACTTGTAAGCCCTTTTTTTTCCCTTCGGAAATGTAGATTAATCTCAACATCGTCGATCTTTAACACGTATACAATATTGTATTATAGTGATTTTATTGTTTACACTCGATCTCTCTGTGCGATTTCTTGTTTGTTATTCTCTTTGCTGCTAAAAGAATTGCTGTCTGAAAATGTAACCGAGAGTTGAATAACCATAGAATATTTGTTTACATTTGATGGATAGCTTTTGCTTCGCTATCAACTTCATGCGGTTGTACGATGATAAACTATTGGCCGGTTTGCCTAAGCTTATTTTAAATAAATGATAAATTATTCCATATGATTAGCTGTTTTAAAAGCCGATAAGTTGTTTTAAGGGTGTATTACTTTAATAAGAAAATCTTAAGAAGTTCTCCAACTTATTTTGAACTTTAAGATTTTAAATAAAAAAGATTTACTTAGCACTTGAAAATAACTTATAAGCTCTTTATCATCTTATAAGTTGTTTTTAAACAAAAAAAATCACGTAACCATGAATTGTTTCTATTCTAATTTGTTTCTTTAATCATTTTTTATCTGCACAGATAAACAAAATAGGTACGTAATGAAATTCATAGCATAATCTAAAGTTAACTTATCCTTTGACGAGAAATTTAATGTGTCAAATGAAAACGCTTTTAAATTGAAAGCGTGTTTTGTGCTGTATAAAAGTTAAAAATAAAATAAATTATACGTAATCAAAATTGAGAAAGTACGCGAACAATATGGAAAAGCATAGAAAATGCTTACACGTGTCAGCTTAACTTCTATATATATATTCATTCAAACCCAAGTAAAGAGTCTCGAAACTTCTTTCAATCGTCGTCTCTCGTCGGAAATCTCTCCCCGAATCTCGATCCAACAAGGTAAAACGATGAAATCTCCCTTCATCAGTTTTCCATTTTCAAAGCTTTCCTGAAGTGGTGAATGCATTTAATTTGTGTTTTAATCTGTATAGTTGTTCTAGGGTTTCGGTTGATAAATATTGTTTGATTTTTTGTTTCCCCTGCTTTCTTCTCTTTCTCTTCTGTACTGTTTTCTGAGTGAATTTTATCCTTTCTGATTAGTTTCTACTATCGTATAAAATTGATGATGCTCCCAATGTGTTCGATAAATTGCCGATACCAGAATTTCATGGAATTGAGGCTGATAAAAAATACGTGAATTAGTTTGATAAAAGTAATACTCCGCTGTTACTATAGCAAGTTGAATTTCTAGATAATAATTATTTTTAGTTGATTATTAGTTGATTACAGGCATAATGCAAGGAGACAGAAAAGTTAGAGACAACTCCGATACTTCGAATACCCCATTCGATAATTTCGGTTTTCGTGGTAGCGTTTTCGATGGGAGGGATCCTTTTGATGACCCTTTCTTCACTCGTCCACAAAGTAGCTTGTTCGCTTCGAACATATTTAGTTCCATTAGTCCTGGTGATATAAATCACACAAACAAATCAAAGGGACCAGTAATCGAAGAATTAGACAGTGATGCTGATGAAGAACCGGAAGAGAAAACGGAGGATGCTGCGTTTGGGAATAGGAATCCGCTCGTTGAGCACCCTGATGAACTTCAATCCAACGGTAAAGATTACTTCTCTTGCTTTTATTGTTTAGAAAAAAAATGGAGATTTTTTGTATATTGATAGTAAAAAGCCTTAATTTTGGCAGAGTGTGAAAAGAGTATAAGCAACGGAAGAGATGTATCGTATAGCAATGATCGTAAAAAAGTAGAAGTAATGCAACCACAGACGAAGAGTGTGAGCTTTCAGAGAGTTACTTATGGTGGGATTAATGGAGCTTATTACACGGCCTCAACTTCTCGTAGGATTGGGAGTGATGGAGTATGACAATTTCATATGTTTCTTTAACTTGATTTTTTATATTTTCAGTTTATGGTCTTGATTTTGTTGACTATTTAGGTGACGTTGGAAGAGATCAAACAAGCGGATAAAACAACCGGTGAAGCAACACACAAGATTTCTAGAGGAATTCATGACAAGGTAAGATACCTTGCTTGTTTCAAGAAATAACAAATAAAATAGATTTGCGAAAATAAAATAAAATCTAAAATAATAATTCGATTTATTTGACAGGGACATTCGGTAATGAGGAAGCTTGATTCGGATGGTAAGGTGGACACTATGCAGAGTCTGCACAACCTAGAACAGGGTTAGTCAATTTTTCAGACATTAGTTATACAGTAAAAGACAGATATATCGGTTTTAATTTATCCGTTTTGTGTTGTGTAAGAAGCTGAATATTATATTATATCTCAGACGAGCTCGAGGGGTTTGAACAAGCTTGGAGAGGCAATGCAGATAGGCAGCATTTGCATGGTTGGAATAATACATTCGATTTTCCTGGTAAGTACATTATTATTATTTTATTTTTTTCTACTCTTGTAAGTTATATATGCTTAGTCTTGTAAGTTCTTTCGTTTTGGAATTGAAGGGGGCAATTTTGGTAATTTACAAGCTCAGCAAAATTCCGGAGGTAGACTGAAGAAGGTTGTAAGGATCAACATTGAATAGCTCGGCATTTTTGTCGAAGAATGGCCAAAATATTATATCAGCTACTGAAATTTGGTAGAAATGATTATAGTTTGTTGTTGTTTCTATCTGAATTATGATAATAAGTAATTGTTGTTGTTGTTGTTGTTGTTGTTGTTGTTATTATTAGTTCTTTCTTAATTAGTATACTTTAACTTTGGACGACATTTAAAATAACATATGTCAACCGAGTAATATAAGGAGTTCGGCTATTTTAAATACAAATTATTGCTCACTTCAATACCATTCAAATATAAATTAGACCATAAATAGAAAATGACATTAACAAAATCATCTTTTCTCTCTTTAATAACACCAGCAAAACCCTTGTGCCCCTATTATTCTTCTTCTTCATAAACCCTCTAATGCGATATGCGGGAGTTCAATGGAGACAGCCCGCTGGTGTGGTCGCTCGTAATTCAGTTTGGTAAGTGGGGCTCTCCCTTACACATTTCATATATTTATTTCATACATTAGGTCGAATATAGTTAAATTTGGCGTCTATGTCTACCCTATGTGGGGCTAGTAACAAGCTCTATGGAGTATTTACTAGCTCTATGGAGTATTAGTGAGCAAGATGAGATCGGGGTTTGAGTTGTCTTTGTGTCTTATGTGAGATTCTTGATATTTTCGATTTAGTGACAATTGAGCATGTATCAAAAAAAAAATATTTACATATATTATAAAATAGTAAAATCTATAACAAAATTTAAAAAGATTGAGGTTTAAATTGGATGGCTTAAAACGCAGGGCAAACATTCTGTCATATTTTATTGTCACATGCGGCACGTGGTGGGATGAGACTAATTAATGCCATTCTTATCACCTTGTTGCATATTTGATTATTTTCTCCCAAAAAATAAAATAAATAAATAAATAAATAACTATTGCATATATATTTTCATGTATCAACTTGTGGTAAACCTGCAATCAACGTACGCACAGTTAATGTTCTTGCAGTAGGCAATTGTGAAACACATGGGCTCGACGTTCAGTTGGTAGATGCACCATAGTAATGACATTAATACACACACATACTATTTTATATATAAATTTGTGTCAATGTGTTAAATTTAAATTATATATATATATATATATATATATATATATATATATATATATATATATATATATATATTATATTTTATTTTATTTTATTTCTTTTTCCTTTTAAGGGATACATCTCATTTTTTAAAATTTATATTAATGCACATGTTTTAATATATAATAATATTGGGTAAATTACACCCCGGGGAATGGTCAAATTACCAAAAAAAAAATTCTTATATTTCGGTAATTACAACTACGTTTCTCGACTATAAATCTTCTTACACGTCCACCCTTGCGGCGTCAAATTTAATGGAATCTTCTAAATTATATGAAAATTCTCCAGTTGTAACTGTGATCTAGTCCATTCGATTTACATTTGAGCAAGAT